TACAACAGCCGCGGCCGCCCAATCAGAGTGCCACAAAAGTTTGAGTGAGGAACTTGTTCACATAGGTCTATAGACTACTCCACCAGAAAATCTCATGATAATAACCATTGTGTGTGGCTCTACAGCCTCATTTTTGGTGGACCTATTTTGGTGGTTCGGCGCATTACGCGAATCCGCGCATTACGCGCACGGACACGGTATAAGCGACTCCGTAAAGGCCAGAGCTTGAAGCGGTCGTTAATGATAGGTAGATGGCGAGTTTCGACTTGGTATGGGAAGTGTACAATGAATACAGTTCCTAATTTTATCGTGCATTCTTGTCTCAGTCGCTAGCAAGGTCACTGATCTTTCCCATCCGCCAGTCAGCGATACATCGGCTAAAATGGGGCGGGTCCAGTTGGAACTCTCCAGTCGGAGAAACTAGGAGAATCATTTATGTTGGATGGCGGGATGAATTCAATGCGATTGTGGATCCAATTGCAGAGGTCGTTCTGGTTGCCTCTCTTCCTCGGTCTCGGGAGCCAGCTCTCGCTCCTGTTCTTCGCTTGAGGTGGCAACCCCAAACAAACTTTAAGGCGTGAAAGTCTTGACAACGCTTGACCATCTGGCCAACATTAGTGTCCCTTGAATCCTATTTCTCTAGCAGTGCCGTGTCGCCAAACTCCTGAGATTATGGCAACGTTCAACCCTGAGTGTGTTAAAGGCCAACACGATGGCTAAGGCGTTCCGGACGGTCAGCTGATCTTAGACTTGCTCACGATCTTTTCGTATGCATCGTTAACAATTGTTGGCAGCGATTCCATAGTGGACTGAATCCCTTTTCTTGTCTCTTAAAACCTTCAGACTTTAGGTAGTTAAACACTAGATGAACCCAGAGGTATGTATGTACGGTGTTCAATCCTGAGCAATGCATTTGCTAGATCAGCCTTGATATCATTTGCAAGCTCCTTTTCTTCCGCCAGTCGTTCAACATGTGCTTTGCTGAGATATGATATATTGGAACCGACTCAAGATACTTATTATGTGCTATAGTGTATCCCTCTGTCACACATCGAAAATCCACCGACTGCCCTAAATCCTCTTCAAAACCAAATTTCCATACGCCGTCCTGTCCGACTGAAGCGGAACACCATGCTTTGGCAAGCTACCAATATCCTTTAATCCCCACTCCTCTCCCAACCCACCACACAAGACCGCCACAAGCATCACTATCATTTTCATTGCAAATGCTCTTGTCTCGACCTTATCAGCAGTACAATAAGTAGCAAAAGGCATGAACCCAAGCTTCTCTTCCCTGTTCTTTAGTGCCTTTATTTTAGCTTTTGACGCTAGGCCCGCAACTTTCGCCGCCCTCTCCTCCGGGCAAATGTTGAGCCAGCGCTCAGGGCGGAACACCAGAGGGTCATCACCACCGAGGAGCTTAAATCGATGGCAGCTTTCAATATCGGCGCGGTGCAACTCACCGTTGAAGTCGCGGTGGACGTGACGGCTTGGAGGATAAAGGCGGAGTGACTCCTTGGCGATGTCGCTGGGACGAAGGCCGATTGGCGAGTCTCGGTGAAATGCGTCGGGCATGCAGGTTGGGTTTCTGAGTTTGTCTAGGAAGTTGGCGAGGACAAGATGCCATTCTGCTTTGTTTGCAGCATCACGGAGGTGGACTTCGATGAAACAGCGAAGGACAACGCGCCACATTGTCTCATATGCTGGGAGGAGGAAGTTCAGCGGATTCTCCTCAGGGACGGTCGGCTCTGCTCCGTTGCTAATTTCTTGAGTATAGCTTCCTGGCATGTCGACAGAGGTTGCACTTGTCACACGGCGCAAGGACATATGGAGGTCGCATTGGTCTGCCCACTGCGGTCTCTCGCCGTCTGGCTTCTTTGACTCGATCCAGAGGTCGTTGATCCGGTGGCCAATGAACTTGATGTCTTCGAATATGTCTTTAGTCTTTGATGCAATCTCGGCATCGGCAAAGAGGTACAAAAGCGACAGCTTCAAGGTAATGAATTGAGCCAACTCTGCAAGGTTGATAGATCCATGACCACCCGCACGTTGCATGTATTCCTTCCAGTACTCGACTGCACGTTCTTGAAGGTCAGTCCAGTCACCTTTATCATCCTTGAAAATCATCTTGCAGGCATCTTTCATCCGCTTGGTGGTCTCTTTACTGAAGTCTCCATGGTTCTTGGGATTCTCGTTAGTGAAGGCATTCTTGATGCCAAAGACCTCCGCAAGGCGTTGGTTAGGTTTAGCCCTGGCTCCGAGTCGATTCAGATACTTCTGGCCATTGTGCTTGTACGTAATGATATCCAGACACTCTTGTACTTGAGCTAGTTCACGCTCTTGCTCGTCATTGGTGTTTGCCATCGTGGTTTGTAACGCAAGACCAGGAGGTTGCGATGTTCGCTGCGTACCATTGAGTGCCACGACTGAGATAGTAAATATGTACTTGCAGGTTCTAATCTTGTTTGCTAGAAAACTAATTGTGGTATCTGCGTGCCAGGTTCTAAGATTTGTGCACAAACAGTAACCTGGGTAAGCAACCCTGTTTCCCTTATTCCATGTTGCTCCTGGTACGCGTGATGCATACTCATTGATTGCAAGATCTGGTACTTTCTGCTTGGTTTGTTCGGCACTGTGGACAATGAAGGCGTGCTGTTTCCAGCCATTGTTGGAGGTCAAGATACAATCAGGTGCCGAAAGTCCGTTCGCACGGGCACACACTCCCAGCTTCTTCATGGCGATTGCCCTGTCGGCACCACTTGGTTATCCTGGTCCAAATTTTCATTCTTTGTGGCCAAGAAGGAGTCACTCACCTAAGGAAGCAATTCTTCCAAAGGGCAATGAGAATACCCAGAGGAGATAACAGAAAGTCTTCTGAGTGTACAGCATCGTATATGTCGATACTGTAGGCCACGCGGACATTAGGATTGACGTATATGTGCTCAGTAGAGCTTGAGGGGTTATCCACGTGTATGAGGCAGCACTCAGACCCTCAAGGGGTGACGCGACAAGGGAGTCCGTTTCAGCTCTAAAGCATAGCGGAGGATCAGCGACAAAAGGCTCTGCTCGCATTGCAACTGCGAAAAAGCATTCGGAGTTAGCCTACCTCCACGCGACCATCATGAACGGCGCGACATTCGTCCCTAATTTGGAATAGTCTGCAACTCGGGGTTAGGGTTTCTCTGCCAAAAATGGTAAGTTTTGACCCCCGATTTGTTTGGCTGATTCACTGGCATTAGGGAACTTAATAAATCTATCCAAATAAGCTGTATTGTGCAGGATTTTACGCTGATTCCGAATCTGGCATTGGATTTTGTGTAGCCAGTCTGGTTGTTCTGATGCACGCATTTGAATACATGTGGCTAAACCTAACTCACTAGCCACACCCTGGCTCTACTAGCCCCACCCTACCGACGTTGTCAGCATGGAGCTGTGATAAAGAGCTGTGATAACGTCACCTACCCAATTATGATACACAAACAGCAATATTGCACTCCCAACCAGTTCTCACACGCTCAATTGACAGTGCAACAGCTCTCTCCTGACGGTCAATTGGCCGGACAACGCTCTCTCACACGCTCAATCGACAGTGCAACGGCTCTCTCCTCATGGTCAATCGACAGGACAACAGCTCTCTCACACGGTCAATCGGCAGCTCTCTCCACACGGTCAATTGACAATGCAATGTCTCTCTCGTCACGGTCAATCGGCAGCTCTCTCCACACGGTCAATCAACAGGACAACAGCTTTCTCACACGCTCAATTGACAGTGCAACGGCTCTCTCCTCATGGTCAATTGACAGGACAAGATGAATGGTGCAAGGTTAGTAGAGTATAGAAAGTAGAAAAGTATTGATATAGAGTAGAGTTAAATTATATAGAAGAACAAGATTATAGTAACAAACAGTTTACAAATAAGTTTAAGTAGTAATAAAGTAAAAAGTAGTAGGTAAAAAGATGTTAAAGTTGTGTCTTAAGCAAAGCTTGTAGCTGTAAGAACCGTACCAACCGTTTCTTCCTCATACTACTCACACGATTGCTATCCGACTCCTAACCGATCCCTACCCTACTACCTACCGGTATCCCCCGAGCTACATGGAGCTGTTAGGTATATAAGCAGGGCAGTGTACATAGTTATGGTAGATAGTTTTTGAGTATCCTTTCGTACAAGACCTATAGGAATAGAGGTTTACTCCTAGTTCTATCTATCCC